CGTGTGATGTATTCGTTTTCCAACGATGTGTATGTGTGTTTTGCGTTTACATTGACAGGTGCTTTCGGTAGAGGATTTGATGAGCAGGTATTCTGAATTTTATGGGCATTCAATAGATATTGGGCACGAAAACTGTAAGGGAGAGAGAGAAAAGGTTAAATTATACAAATCGGAATATATCTAAAAAATTAATTGAATGTTTTTCAATGACCAAAAAAGGCGTGGATTTATTAAAGAATATTTTTTCAAGGGCCATCCAGGCGTAGATTTATTAAAGAATTAAAGAATATTTTTTCAAGGGCCATCCAGTCGTAGATTTATTAAAGAATATTTTTTCAAGGGCCATCCAGGCGTAGATTTATTAAAGAATATTTTTTCAAGGGCCATCCAGGCGTAGATTTATTAAAGAATATTTTTTCAAGGGCCATCCAGGCGTAGATTTATTAAAGAATATTTTTTCAAGGGCCATCCAGGCGTAGATTTATTAAAGAATATTTTTCAAGGGCCAACTGAGGCGTGGATTTATTAAAGAACATTTTTTCAAGGGCCAACTGAGGCGTAGATTTATTAAAGAATATTTTTCAAGGGCCAACTGAGGCGTGGATTTATTAAAGAATATTTTTCAAGGGCCAACTGAGGCGTGGATTTATTAAAGCATATTTTTGTTCAAGGACCTAGACTTCTCAAAAAGCTTTTTCCCCTAGGCTCATAATTGCATTTCTATCGCAATAGGTTTTTGCTAAAAAAAAATATTTACCTTTTACCGCAATTTTTACAATGCCACTTCTTGTTCAAATTCAAATGGACCTGATCCTTGTGACGTTTCAGTACGTCACGACGAGCATAACTCAAGTTACAAATATTACATTGAAATTGATTCTTTTCCGAATGGCAGGCCAGCATGTGTCGTTGTAAATTATAACCTGCACGATATTCACGATTACATAGAGTACACTTGTGCGTCTGGCCCTCTGTATGTGTGGTCTCATGACGGATCAGACGATAACGTGTCGGAAATTCCTCTAAACATTGTATACATTGATAACGTTTCATACCATGCTGTCGGATGTGTTCGGAATAGTCTTTCTTCCGTTGAAATTCTTCGTGGCATGTGACACAGGTGAAGGGCGATGGAAGTTTGTAACCACCATTCGGTGCATAATCATAATCCGACGTTTGTGATGGTTCATTATTGGACAATGCTGAATCTATACTCAATGATACTTGAGGTTGTAGCAGACTTGAACTGGAATCAGAATGATCGAATTCATTTTTGGTAACTTCGATTAAATCAAATTGACGCTCGGCACTAGTTTCATTGTTCTCATCGTCGTCATTTGTTAGGTGGCTTATTTTATTATTAAAGGAACTTTCGCTGGATTCAATATCATCGACGGAGAGGCTATCATTACGCATTTGTATCTGCAGAGGCAGAGGTCTCTGTTCGGGTTGTTTCCAATCACATATTCTATTGGTGGGTATATGAAAATCATAATCAACAGCATCTTCGGTTTCGGACGCCACAATTGTTGATTCGCTGTGTGTTTCCAATATCTCAACATCAACATCGATGGGGAGAATGCCATCAGTTTCATCGGAATTGTCCGTTTTTATAACTGGCGGTGGTTCCTCATCGGAGATGCATAGGACATCATTATTCTCCGGTTTTTGCACAACTTTGCCCTGCAATTTCGGGGTTTGCTTCTTTTGTATTTCACCCTTCAGACGCTCCTGCATTTGTTCACTTTGTTTCCGCAGCAACATGGACATGTCCAAGGTTTTATCACACTGCTGGCAAATTAATTTTGGTAATATATCATCGTTTTGTATCTAGAGATTTGAAAATGTTTGGGAACATGATAATCTTTCTTTTTCATTTAAATATAATTTGGAAATTGGACCTCACCTCTATATTTGCACACTTTTTCAGTTTCTCCAACATTTCGGGCCCCCTATCTAAAATTTTTATAAGCTGCTGATTATTTCCACACAAACGGCACAATTCCAATGACATTTTGATATTTTTAAAAACTTTTTTTCTTGTTAAAAACACAAATAATTCACAAAATTTAAAAATATAAACAATTCTACTCGTATGAATGAAAATATGATGCTGGTACTGCCGGCCAAACGAACTGAAAAACGTTCCCGAAACCAGGAAGATAAACCAAAATAAGAGAAATGTTCTATTGTTTACATATGAGCGTTGGAGAATATGCCTAACATCAGCTGACTCCGCCGACCAACTGTTAATTAACAACTGTTGTAGGGATTTCATCGTATGGACTTTAAAAAAAATATTCCTTTAAGAAATTCCCACTTTGTATGGGCCTTGAAAAATATTCTTTAATAAATTTACGACTTGTATGGGTCTTGAAAAATATTCTTTAATAAATCCACGCCTCAGTTGGCCCTTTAAAAATATTCTTTAATAAATCCACGCCTTATTGGCAATTGAAAAAATATTCTTTAATAAATCTTCGCCTGTCATGGGCCTTAAAAAATAGTATTTAATAAATCCACGCCTTGTAAGGGCCTTAAAAAATATTCTTTGTAGAGTATTTTATGATTTTTATATTCATACATAATATTTTATTCAATTTCATCCTGTTTAATACCATGTTCAAGCATGTGCACTTTTAACTCTTCTATAGTCTTAAAAATCAAATCAGGACATGCTGAGCAAGCAAATTGATGATGTTCCGATGACAAATCATCATCGTTATATTCTTCCAGATTATTGGCAAAGTCCTCATCATCGTGAACATTGTGGATGGTCATGTGGCGCAAAAGACTTTTCCTAAAAAAAACATTTTTTTATTAATAAAAATCTCAAAAGAATTTGAGGTGAAGAAGATGGACTTACTTCAAAGCAAAACATTTAAAGCAAATGCGACACTGAAACTTTTTTGCTCTTCCCGGTTCTGATGCAGATGATGCTGTAATATCCGTTACCGCTGCATTGATTCCATCATCCTCAACGAGTGTTACCAGGAGATCGTCATTATTATCCGATTCGGTAACAGTGTGAATTTTCATGTGAATTTTAAAATCATCCTTGGAAATAAATTTCTTTTGACAAATAATACAGGTGTAAGTTTCGCTGTCATCGCTAATTTGTTCTACGAGGACGTGATATTTTATTATGTGAATCTGGAAAAAAGAAAGAAAACATTTTTTTTTTTTTTTGTAAATTGATTTTCGATGAATGCAACTATTTAAGTGAAAAAATGCATATGAATCGAAGTCTTTAGGATTTCTCACTCTCTTAAGAATATTGAATTAAAAAATATTTTTTCAAGGAGCAACAAGGCATGGATTTTTAATGAATGTTTTTTCAATGGCCAATACAAGACCTGGATTTTTTAAAGAATATTTTTCCAAGACCCACACAAGTTGGGGATTTATTAAAGACTATGTTTTCATGGGCCATACAAGGCGTGAATTTATAAAAAGGAATATTGTTTATGGGCCATATAAGGCGTGGATTAATTAAAAAAATATTTTTTTCAAGTACCAATACAAGGCATTGATTAATTCAAAAACATTTTTTTAGGACAATATAAGGAATATTTTTCCAGGAATTATAAAAAAATCGGGCTTATAATTAGGTCCAGAAAATATTGAAAGAACTTGTTTTTAGAAAACCATGTAACGTGACCGCTACATTTCACACCACGTTATTATATACCCCTCGTTAATATTGTACTAGAATACCTACATTTAAGCAACTCACTCTGCAATTATAATAAGTAGATATTTGACTTCAATTAACAGTCATGGGGATATTGTTGAGATATTCACTTTGTGTTGTCGTACAGATAAGTCTTCCAGTTTTCGTCGGCAGAAATTGTCGAGTGCTGGAGTTAGACCACGTACGAGCGAAACCGACTTGTGGCAGTGTCCGCAGTCACAGTACCTTGTTCCTGCGATTCGTTCGCTTCCTGCGATTCGTTCGCTTCCGCGACTCGTTCGCTTCCTGCGATTCGTTCGCTTCCGCGATTCGTTCGCTTCCTGCGATTCGTTCGCTTCTATATAACTCTTCTCGTTTCAGAAGGAGTTTTTTCAACCCGAGCCGACTACTCTAACACGAGCCGACTACATCAACCCGAGCCGACTACATCAACCCGAGTCGACAACTTCAACCCGAGCCGACTACATCAATCCGAGTCGACTACTTCAACCCGAGCCGACTACATCAACCCGAGTCGACTACTTCAACCCGAGCCGACTACATCAACCCGAGTCGAATACTTCAACCCGAGCCGACTACTTCAACCCGAGCCGACTACATCAACCCGAGCCGACTACTACAATTCCGAGCCGACTACTACAATCCCGAGCCGACTACATCAACCCGAGTCGACTACTTCAACCCGAGCCGACTACTTCAACCCGAGCCGACTACTACAATCCCGAGCCGACTACATCATTTTTCGAGGAATTCAACCCGAGTGTAAAAAATTCGAGCCGACTACATCAAGCCGAGTCGATAATTAGGTCCGAATACCTAAACCTACATACCAGTTACAAAGATTTACAACACACCGAACAAGGCGTGGATTAATTAAAAAAATATTTTTTCAAGACAACCAACGAATAAATAACTCTCGTATATTTTAGGCTCAAAAATATTTTTAAAAATTCGGGCTTATAATTAGGTCCAGAAAATATTGAAAGATTTTAGACAAAACCACTCGTTATAACCACTCTTATATTTAGACTGAAAAATATTTTTAAATATTCACGCTTGGCAAAAATATTATTAGCCCTTAAAAAATATTAAAAAAAACTAAGCCCTTAAAAAAATATTTTTATCTACGCTTATGTCCTGCAAATTGAAAAAAATATATTTTAAAATAACACATGATTATAATAATGTCCTAATTTTTTAAAAAATATGGCTTTTGAAATAAAATTAATTTAAAAAAATCTATTATTTTTTTATTTAAGCTTTTACTACTATGTTGAATATATCAAAATAATATCCATCCACATATTTAAATAGTCCAAACATTTACCACACTTGATAAACATGTCGTATATTTACCCATGGTAAAATGGATCATAGCTTTATATTTCCCGGATAGGTCACCATGAAAGTTGACATCTCGCAATTCCAGACGATTTTTGATGCCATTTATAATGAAAACTTTCTGCAATAAGTTTTTAAAATATTGGATAGAGTTACTTTGTAATTATACAATGGTCTTACATCCTTTGGTGGTGGACATACACGATCCTCTTCGGGAAATTGTGCAATAAGTGGATACCAAAATTCAGATGGATCAGCTAGAGCGGCACAGGTATCGTCACGTTTTAATGAAAAGACGGTATTAACCCAATGACCACGTTCCCATTTGAAGATTTCCATATCACCCTTAAGGTAATAATTAGGATTTAATATTTCTAACTTAATTTTCAATACAAATTGAAAAATTACCAAAATCGGTGCGCCGGATAAATCGACATTAATGGTAAAATTACCATTCGAAATTATTGTCTCCATATCCTCGGCATAATCATGTTGCAAATTAAATGTAGCTAATTCACCCAATTTTGTTGTTCCATCATCTTCGGTATCATCACATGGCTGAATGAGGCTCATTTCATCGCCTACAACAGCATAGTCATGGGCCTAGAGGATATATTTTTCAATAATAAAGAGACATTAATTTAAATGAAATACACCTACCTTCACTGTGCAAACTAGAATTGCAAAACAAAACAATTGGAATATTTTCAACATTGTTTTCTTTTTTTTATAATAATTAACTAACAATTTTCCATTCCAATTGAAAACAAACGATTGCTGATCGTGCAATATATAGTGGGATAGTGAATGCATTCATATAAGTGATATAGATCTGGACGACTTAACAATAAAATTGCTTGCTCAACAATAAAAACGAATTTGCCTCATTTGAAAAAAATCTATCATGTAAATCTTTAAATCAAGCCCGTTATCTGGACAACATCATAGTTGTGGAAAGAATACAGTTGCAATACATAAACAAGCCCAATGACTTTGGGTTCAAAACAATAATAGTTAAGGGTACTTCCACCTTATTCTCATTCAAAATCCTGAACGATTTTCAAAAAATTGTTTAAGGCCCATACAAATCGTGGTTTTGTTAAAGAATATTTTTTCAAGGGCCATCCATACTAGGCCGCATTGGTATGATCCAATAATGTCATTGACCATTGGCATCAGTCGTTCACAAAGTACGCTGGATGCCTCTATAGTTGGCACATATCGTCTTGTCTCCTTTTTTGTGCACGGGACACAGGATGCTGAGGTTCCAATCATTGGGCATGCTACTATTTGATACCAGAAGTTTTTCAAAATGCTCCTTCCAGATCCTCAACACGATGTCTGTATCTGTCACCAGGTTTCCTTCTTTATCTCTACAGGAGGATGTGCCTGCACCAAAGCCTTCGGTTTAGTGTTTTACCCGTTGGTAGAAATTTCGGACTTCATCGCATTACGTGTTGCTACTGTCCGCTTGGTTTTCCTATACGCTGCGTTTTTCATATCAGTAGCATTACGACACTCCTGATCGGACCACGGATTTCTTGATGGTGGTCTTTGGTACCCAAGTGTTGCTTTTGCTGCAGTTTGTAGGGAGTGGGCAATTCTGTGCCACTGTGAACTGTCGTGCACTGTTGGGTAAGTTGAGCGTTGTAGACTTCTGTAATCTGTTGTGTTTGCAGCTTTTCGACGTCAAATTTCCGTGTTACATTAGATCGCACCTTTGCTGCTACATTAAGACGGGTGCGTACCGTGGCTGCCGCAAGGTAATGGTCCGAATCGATATTCGCTCCTCGGATCGATCGGACATCTAAAACACTGGATGAATGCCTTCCGTCTATCACAACATGATCGATTTGATTTTTCGTTGTTCGATCGGGTGAACTACAATGTTTTTTGCTGCCGCGAAGTCAATCAACCTCATGCCGTTGTCTGATGTTTCTTCTTCTTCTTTTCCGACGGTGGGGCCAAAGATATTTTCCCTTCCGATTTTTGCATTAAAATCTCCTAGCAGAATTTTAATGTCATGGCCAGGGCAACGGTCATATGCTGTTTCTATAGGCTCGAAAAATATTTCTTTGGTCTGTTCACCTTTATCTTCGGTCGGAGCATGGACGCAAATGAGACTTATGTAGAAGAACTTCTCTTTTATACGGATTATAGCAATTCGCTCATCTACTGGAGTGAATTTGGAGACGATGTCTTTTATTTTCCTGTTAACCATAAATCCGCAGCCAAATTCACGTCTCGTTTCATATCAGCTATAATACAGGAAATGCAATATTATCGGCTTTGTACTTCTTGAGTACATCCGGCAAAGCAAACACTGCGCCTGTTCTGTACAACGTGCGCACACTCCAAGTGCAGATTCGCAGATCGTGGTCCTTTATACGTTTGCGGGGGTCGTCAACATTATGTGGTTTTGGTTTTCTTTTCCTTTGCTTTTTCATAGTAGGTTGGTAACCCGACGCATCAATCCATTTTTTATAGTTCTTATGGATGAACTCGCGGCACATATTAGCTCATTATTTCATCGGGTGATGAAAATAGGTACCCCAGGTGGCACCTCGTTGAGGTCAGTGTCCACAATTGAGTTGAAAGAGGGACCAAGATAAGCCTGAACTTCGCCATGTTAAAGCCAATCAGAGCCGTTGCTTTGTATCTATCATCCCAAATCCACTATTGACCAGATTTTCACTCTGTGTCAAATCCTGGAAAAACCCAACGAAAAACACATCGACACATTCCACCTATTCGTCGACTATAAAGCCGCATTAGACAGCCCTATTCGTCCAGATGTGTATAAAACCATGTCTGCGTTTGGCATTCCTGCAAAATTAATACGGCTATGCAGGAAAACTTTAACTGGCACAAGATCAGCAGTTTTTAACACCCAGCTGGAAAAGGTCATACGATAGGCAAAAGTGAACAGAAATGACACTCTGTACACCAAACAACACATGTTATTCGCCTACACCGATGACATCGACATAATGGGTCGAACACTGAGAGCGGTAACAGCCACGTTTGAAAAAATTGAGAAGGAGTCTGCCAATGTGGGTCTGGCAGTAAACGGCGAGAAGATCAAGCTGATGGTATCAACGCGCAAGACGCCCAGTAGACTCGGACCAACTGTGGAACTTGAGAGGTAGTCAAAGATTTTATATACCTTGGATAAAGAAAACGAATAACATCAGTTTTGAAATTCGGAGAAGGCCACCTCCCGCCAGACACTGATACTACCCGTGCTGTTATATGGATCTGAAGCATGGGTACTTGCGCAAGCAGATGAGACAGCTCTTGGAGTGTTTGAGAGAAAAATTCTCCGAAAGATCTATGGGCCGATCTGCGTTGACGGTGAATATCGCCGTCGAATGAACCATGCGTTGTTCAGCTAATCTCGGACATTTACATTGTTAGACGTATTGAGCTACAGCGACTACGTTGGCTAGGTCATGTTGTGAGAATGGATGAAGATGTCCCAGCCCAGAAGGTAATAAAAGCGAACAAGCTGATAGTTCACGCAGAAGGGGAACACCACGAATAAGATGGAAAGATCAAGTAGAAGACAACGTTGCCGAATATGGTCTTTCAAATTGGGAAATACTGTCACAAGCCAGCTAAGTAAGTAAGTATCCATACAAGGCGTGGATTTATTAAAAGAATATTTTTTTCAAGGGCCTTGCATACAAGGCGTGGATTTATTAAAGGAATATTTTTTCAAGGGTCATCTATACAAGGCGTGGATTTATTAAAGGAATATTTTTTCAAGGGCCATCTATACAAGGCGCGGATTTATTAAAGGAATATTTTTTCAAGGGTCATCTATACAAGGCGTGGATTTATTAAAGGAATATTTTTTCAAGGGTCATCTATACAAGGCGTGGATTTATTAAAGGAATATTTTTTCAAGGGTCATCTATACAAGGCGTGGATTTATTAAAGGAATATTTTTTCAAGGGTCATCTATACAAGGCGTGGATTTATTAAAGGAATATTTTTTCAAGGGTCATCTATACAAGGCGTGGATTTATTAAAGGAATATTTTTTCAAGGGTCATCTATACAAGGCGTGGATTTATTAAAGGAATATTTTTTCAAGGGTCATCTATACAAGGCGTGGATTTATTAAAGGAATATTTTTTCAAGGGTCATCTATACAAGGCGTGGATTTATTAAAGGAATATTTTTTCAAGGGTCATCTATACAAGGCGTGGATTTATTAAAGGAATATTTTTTCAAGGGTCATCTATACAAGGCGTGGATTTATTAAAGGAATATTTTTTCAAGGGCCTTGCATACAAGGCGTGGATTTATTAAGGGAATATTTTTTCAAGGGTCATCTATACAAGGCGTGGATTTATTAAAGGAATATTTTTTCAAGGGTCATCTATACAAGGCGTGGATTTATTAAAGGAATATTTTTTCAAGGGTCATCTATACAAGGCGTGGATTTATTAAAGGAATATTTTTTCAAGGGTCATCTATACAAGGCGTGGATTTATTAAAGGAATATTTTTTCAAGGGTCATCTATACAAGGCGTGGATTTATTAAAGGAATATTTTTTCAAGGGTCATCTATACAAGGCGTGGATTTATTAAAGGAATATTTTTTCAAGGGTCATCTATACAAGGCGTGGATTTATTAAAGGAATATTTTTTCAAGGGTCATCTATACAAGGCGTGGATTTATTAAAGGAATATTTTTTCAAGGGTCATCTATACAAGGCGTGGATTTATTAAAGGAATATTTTTTCAAGGGTCATCTATACAAGGCGTGGATTTATTAAAGGAATATTTTTTCAAGGGTCATCTATACAAGGCGTGGATTTATTAAAGGAATATTTTTTCAAGGGTCATCTATACAAGGCGTGGATTTATTAAAGGAATATTTTTTCAAGGGTCATCTATACAAGGCGTGGATTTATTAAAGGAATATTTTTTCAAGGGTCATCTATACAAGGCGTGGATTTATTAAAGGAATATTTTTTCAAGGGTCATCTATACAAGGCGTGGATTTATTAAAGGAAT